CTTGGCGTGGCAAAGATGCATGAATTTCTAAAATATAGATACCACAGAAGATGGCTGGGAACATCTTCCTGGTATCCAGCTAGGAGGGCTGCCTGAATGCAAGGGGACTGTCACAGGCTTGCAGGCGGCTTTGGGGTACATCACTAAAGGTGGATGCTGAAAGAAGTTGGAAGGGGCAGAACTGGAACTTATACTTTCTCACATCAAGAAACTGTCATAGAAAGACTCCATGTATTAACATTTTGATGGCAACATAAATATTAATACATAGGCTCCAGAAGAGAATTAGCACTTTGATCCCTGCCCGGGGTTGACCCAAAAGCCTGCAACAGTCAACAGTGAGTGAACTGAAAGGGTTAGGTGACAGACATTGAGCCCATTCCATCTTCCTTCGCACACTCACACACAGTGGAAGAACTGGAGGCCTAGAAGAGAGGAAGGTGAGAACCTTAAAAGAAAAATGTCCCCTCCTAATGAAGCCTGGCCTCTGTTCTGGAAAAAGAGAAAGGAAGAACTTTACATTGGACAGGATATTGGAGTTTTAAATTAGACCAGAATAAAAATGTTAAATATCTAAAAATACACAGAAAGCTATGGAATTTGGAATCTATCCAGAAAGAGAGCTCTGGCAAAGCATGGTTGAAGGAAGTGATTGCCAGATGCTGACCTGCCACTCTGACACCTTTGTTTTCCTGATTACAGAAGTATCTTTTTATTATCTCTTCTGGCTTACTTTTCAATTTTCTTTAGAAAAGGTTTTCTCCTCTGTACAAATATATATATATATATATATATATATATTAGATGATGATGAGACTCTGTCTTCACACTTACTTCAGAAAGGAAAAAATTCTTAAGACCTGAATCCTCTTTAGAAAAAAACTTAAAATGAAACATTCACTTTCTCTCTCGGAGTCAGGACTTCCATTTTATCTCGGCTCTTTCTACTATCTCCAGGTCCCTGCCCCCGGCCACCACCTGTTATCACTCCATTTTTAATACCAGAAGGGATGACGGTCACCGTGTCAGCCCTCCCAGGATTTCTCTCTCCACCTGACTGACTTCAGCATTCTTCACTGCTTGCACCTCCCCTTCCAGAACAGCAGGAAACGATCCACTTGGAAGCCATTTATGTTGAGGCAGATCTCATCACACAAAGGAACCTGAAATGACCTGATACCACGGTCTTTTATAGACTTCACGCCAGATGCTTTCCATTTTATAGACTCCCCAAACTTCACTCTCCCATTGCATTTCTGCACCTCAGTGTGTCCGAAGATCATACATAACCAGCAGAACTATAAAACACAGACTGACATTTTCTGGTTACTGACTTACATCTGCAACTCCAGTTTCTCTCATCTGAGATAAAACACTTTTCTTCAGCTGTTTTCCTAAAAAACAGTTATCCGGGTTAACTGCATGTGGGAAAACTGCAGGAATACAATAAATAAGGAGAAAAGAACTAGAGATTAAATTTCTATTTAAGTCTTGAATGTATTTGTTCATTCCAGAAACTGTCCATTTGGCCCAAAAATAGGTTTATCTGATTTATCAGTTAAGGTTAGAGTTAGCAGCAGGTATTAGATAACTAAAAATAATAGTGATTTAAGAAAGAAGCTTAATTTTCCCTGAAACAAAGCTCAGACAAGGTTGATACATCATCTCAATGTCACCAGAGACCTACGCCTCTCTCCTGCCACCCTTCTCATCACCCACACTGAGCTTTCCAAGATATCTGCTCAGGCACCAGCCACCACATCCACACTCCAGCCAGCAGAAAGGAGAAAGGAAGAAACACATATCCCTCTCTATAAAGACATGTCCTGGAAATTGTACTTGACACTTCTGCCTACCGCCCACTGCCTGGAATTCAGTTTTATGACTAGCTGCAAGGTTGGGAAATATAGCCTTTATTCTTATGGCCCAAGTTCCAGTTAATAAGTGCACAGCTTATTGCTAAGGAAAAGAGGAAAGTGAACACTGAGGATAGCTAGCAATTTCTGCCACAGTCATGATCACATTTCAGTGTTTTGAGCACCAGAACCCAAGTTTGACCTCAGGCAAGTCAATTTACATTTTCTCACAAACAAACGTCTCCCAACTCTTGGCATGAAGAGTATCAAGTAGAAAAATGCCAGAAAATATAGGGTTATACTGAAAATACCAAGAGTTCCTCAACATAGAGGCAATAGTGAATGTACTAAGGATTTTAGGTAGCATTTGTACAATGAAATAAAACAATGCTGATTTCATGCTTTCTGTTTCCTCTTTCCCCTTGAGACCTTCCCTCTGTGTTGCAGGTACAGACATGGAGAAATTCCACAGCACAGCATTAACACTGTATAAGAGATGCTATAGCAAACAGAAGTAATAAATCTAAAGAAATCATAGAGTACCAAGAATGTGAGATGCGATTTGGCACTTAGACCAGCAAAGAGCAGCACAGTACGTGATTAATCCTGCATGGCCACATTTACATCTCTAATTTGCTCATATAAATGCATTAAGCCAGATGGTTTTAGAGACTATCACTCTACATATACTTGTGGGTCAGCACCCACATCTTCTGTGCTTTATGGGTGCCCAGGCTTGGGTAGTGCCCCCCTTCATCCTTCATCAGTTTCCTAGCATAAACCACTTTATTCTTATTTCTCCCACTTCCTAGAATCAGTATTCTCACATTCAACATACACACCTACACTAACATCTTCCTGACCTTGATAAGTAATAGATTAAGAAGGCATGACAAGGTAGCTCTCACTTTAACTTAGAATACATCAGGAAGATCATTTTGAAAATGGGCATTTTATTCTATTTGTGAAAAATCAGCATCCCCATCCAAAAATGGGAGTCATATACTTTGCTAGTTTGAATCCTCCTCTATCTATTGAAGAAAAAATTCGCTCTAATAATTGGAATTCTTGAAAATTCAATAAAAATTATAAACCAAAGCTTTTATTTGTTAAAATTTAATACTGGTTTTCAATTATTACAATAATTCTGTACTTATTGATCTGCTGGCATCTAGCTCCAACCAGACACATCATTGAGCCTATTCAGTGAGGCAGCTGTGGTAGCAATTTGCTTCTAAACTAACAATATGCTGTTGAATATGGTCATTTTCTCCTATCTCAAGTGCCATCAATTAATGGATCTCAAATTAGTCTTCACTATGGAACTGTCGTATTAGGAATTGTACATGACAAGCAAATATAAAACCAAAGACAGGCCTCAATCATTAACAAACTTAGAATTTGTATCAGAAAAGTGAAATAATCTGAATGTTCCCAGAGGAGATCTATTTATTTTAGAGAAATAAGGTACAAAGTAAGAATACTATGAAAATATGATTATATGTTGAAAAGGAAACATCCTGAAAGAGTGTGAGCCTCTCTGGGGCTGTGGGCATGACTCTCCCTGAGAAGAAGCTGAATGGGGTCCCCATGGGCAGGGCTGCAGCTGGCCTGCAAATGGTGGAGTAGTCAAGGGGGGGAGCCCTCAGGATCAGGCTCAAGTCTGCAGTCCAAGACCCACAGAATCTATCTGCGTGATGGCAGAAGCTATTTAAATCAACAGTCTGAGGGGAACATAAACAGTAACTGTCTATTTCTCAGTGTCTGCGTCCTGTCCCTCCTCTAAACTCTGATTATTTCTTTCATAGTCCTCTTCTTTCATGTGTAGAAGAGTTCACCTTTTATAATGCTATCATGAGGCGCTAAGAAGGATTATAGGATTGGCTCTCACTTGCTTTTGAGAGCAAAGAGATAATAATCATAAGTGTCTATCATTTCTTGTTAGATTCACCTGCTTGATGCAACCAATACATTCCAATTATTATTTTCAAGAACATGTATATATTCTGTCTCTAGTTATGGCTAAAATAACCACCTCAGCAGAGGCCCCATTTTTATGCCTTTTTTTTTTTCTTGAAAACTACATCTCCTCAAACAAGGTTGAGAAGTCTGAAGTCATGTTTCACAACTGGACCAGAACTGAATACCCGACAAGTTAGGACTTCCAATTGCCTCTTTGGGGATTAAAATTGATACTCAATTATTAATCTGAACTGTTCTAGGAGAAACACAGGACCTATGGCTGCCATTATGGGTTAGATAATGTCAGGGGCTCAGAAGATGATACCCCAAATGTAGTGCCTTAGCATGCTAAAATCTTGAACTGAAGGAAAGGATTCCAGAAGAAGGTCTTTCTGACCTTCTCCTGTCCTTCTTTTTTTCTGTCCCTTTCCCCCACAAGGTGCTATAGACACTAGAATTCCTCTTCCAAAGATGGGTTACAGAAACTAGAACACTCAAAGTCAGCCATGAAGCCTAGAAATATCACTCTAGCTTCCCCTCTGGGTGAGAACTGGCCATAAAGACCCTCTGACCTACCTTGTCTAAGGTAGATCCCAAGACTTTCTTTCCAGAAGGGGTACTACCCTGTACCCAGGAGGAAGGCGGGCCACAGGGAAAGGACAAGAAGAATCCAAAGAGCCCTTCCTGTGCTCTAGCCCAATGTCTGTTACTATTAGATCCACACATTTTCTGTCCAATTGCATTTCTACATGGTTGTCCTTTACTGAACCTAGGAATTAAAAACAGATAGGGTCTTTGGGTCTTCATTTCTGAAGCCTCCTGTGATGCATAAAACTTCAATTAAATACATTTGTTGTGTTTTTCTCCTGTTACTCTGTTTTTGTCAGTTCTATTTCAAACACAGCCAAGAGCCCAAGAAGGGGAGGAAAAATGTCCTACAATATGTTTGGTACCTATATACCAAAACAGAGAAAGGGTCTTCAGAAAGAAAGAGAGTGGTGGCCAACTGCAGAGAGAGAAGCAGCTACTAGAGACCACAGTAAACTCAATGTGACCCCTAAAGAGATCCAGGTCCTAATCCTATAACCTATGAATGTTTCCTTTGATGGCAAAGGTTCTTTGCAAATGTGATCAAATAAGGATTTGGGGGAGAACATTCTAGATTGTCCAGATGAACTCTAAATATAATCATAAGTGCCCTTCTAAACAGAAGATTTTACTATAGAAGGAAGCAGTACAACTGCTTTGAAGATGGAGGAAGGGGATGTGAGTCAAAGAATGTCAGGAATGTACCTGTGGAAGACAGAAAAGGTAAGGAGACTTTACCTGGAGACTCTGCCCTAGAGGCACCATGTGAGCCCAGTGAAACTGATTTCACACTTCTGAGCCTTCAAAACTTTAGGAAAATAATTTGTGTCATTCAAACCACTAAGTGTGTGGTAATTTGTTGTAGTGGCAACAGGAAACTCATACAGAAACCATGTGGCCTTAGACAGACTGACAGGTGGTTTCCTGGATTCCAAACTGCTTTCTGCACATTCTTTCACATGGTCTAGCTTGCACATATTGCCATTGGGTTCCACGAAATACCAATGTGGCTTTATAACAAAGTCAACAGTTTTCTTAGACCAATCAGAATCTCAGGTTATAAATAAGCAAGCTCAATAAAGTCAATACATACGAAACTATGCAGTGCAAAAGAGAAGAACCATAATTCACGGTTTCCATGGGGAAAGTACCTTCCAAAGTTGAAAATGATGCCCCAAATTTCTACCATAAGACTCACCCACATAGCTTTAGATACTATCTCTAAAATGCTCCACTTTAAAATGCAACTCTGTTTTTACCTAAGAGGGGAATTCCCCCAACAAAACTGCATCAACTGAACACATCAGCATGGATTTATTGACAAAATAATGTAGTAAGATTTTATACTTTGCCTTAAATAAATAGAACAAGAAGAGATTCAGTTGCAAAAAGGAAGTTGGAAGTAACTGAAATGTAAAAAACAATCATCTGAAAAGGCAAAATTCAGAAGGTGGAAATGTAAAAGGAGGAGTTTTTAGCAGGGACCTGAAGAGTACAAGTACCCAAGAGAAGTGGGCACCCAGGGAAGGTTAGATTCAAGACCTGAGGAACAGGAACCATTTTTCCCACATTTCAGCCTAAGGGCTACAGATTCAGAGAATCAACAGAGAAATCAAATGTGCTCCACAAACCAAACCTATCTTAAAAGCTCAGGACATAAATGACACTCTCTCGTCATGAATCCCAGACCTCCGTAGAATGAGAGACATGGGCTTCCATTTTCAACAATGAGAAATGGACAAGTTCACCAATCCTATCCTCTTTCAGAGCTTGGAAAGTTGTACTTTTATGAATACTTATTAAAGTCTATTGGTCTTTTATTTGCCTTTCAAAATTCTTAACAGCATACAGCACAACTGTTCTTTCAAAAAGGTTTATACTTCCATATTGCACCTTCATAAGATAAGTAGTTAGGAGCTGGAACTTCTCTAGTGCTTAGATATTCAATTCACATCAAAAGACAAGTGTTGTTGGGCATGGTGGTGCACACCTATAATCCCAGCTACTTGGGAGGCTGAGGCAGGAGAATCACAAACTCAAGGGAAGCCTCAGAATTTAGCAACAATCTGTTTCAAAATAAAAAAAATAAAAGGGGTTGGGAGATGTAGCTTAGTGATAGAACACCACTAGTTCAATCACCACTACCAAAAATAAAGAAGAAAAAAAAAACAGTATCATTAGAGACTGTTTGACTAGTTATCCAGAAAAGCAAAATCCCAACACAACAGAAACCTAATCCATGTTGAAATGTTACAGCTAAAGTCTCAGAAATAAAGATATGCTTACCTAGAAAACTCTCTGTGACAAAAGAAAAGACCTAGGGGGAAAAATGCATGCTTAACATAAATTGGAAAGATTGGTGAAGAAAAAGAGACCATTCTGCCCAATAGATAACTAAAGTAATCATTTATCACCTGGAAACGACAGGGAGCAGAGAAGGTCAGAACAAGGGAGCACTCACCCAAACGGGATTAGCTGTGAACTCTAAATGCTTGTCACTAATTACAAATTATCCAGTAATACTGTGAAATGATCAAATAGGTTAATACAGGATTTGAATTAATCTTCCTGGGTTTAAGATTTACCTCTAATCCACTGAAAACTTGGGATCAGTGGAGTGTGATTTCTGCATAGTACAAGAAAGGACACTGGGAACATTAACATCATATGCCAATCTCTTGCCAGGTCCGTCTCAGATACATCTCTTTTGCTGGATAAAAACAGTGCTTCATGTTCTGTCCTTTATTAGGATCTACCTTTTAAAGAAAGCTCCATTTGAGGCAGAGACATAAATGACATGGGCAGTACCTGCTCCATGCATCTTTGTTTCTTCTTCAGTACTGGGGATTAAATCCAGGGTTACTCTACCACTGAGCTACATCCCCAGCCATTTTTGTTTAAGTCTTGCCAAGGTGCCAGGCTGCCCTCAAACTTGTGATCCTCCTGCCTCAACCTTCAAGTAACTGGGATTACAGGCATGCATCACCATGCCCAGCTTCAATGCATCTTTGAATCTTCAGTGCTTAATAAAGGATGTATGGCTGATTGGTAAATCAATGACCCAAGTTAATATCACCAGCCTTTCTTCAAAGATTCTGCTTTTCCTGTATAGTTAATTAATGTTTCAAATACAAACGTATATATCGGCCAAACTAATATATAAGAAACACAAAGAACATCTATTTATATCCAGCATTCTCTTAATTTATGTCAAACATCATACCTTCCTTTCAATTTCTAGTTTTCCACCCTGTATGTTTTTCTTCCAGTTGTGTCTGTCACTCTTTTTTAAAAAAATACAATAACATTTCTTTGATTAAATGGTGGCCATCCTCCATATAAAGAATAATGCAAAGACCAATTTGTGTAATCATTCTTTACAGTGGGGGATATGAGCCTCAAGCAGTGAAGAAAAGACTCCTAGGGGATTGAAGGCCAAAAGGAGAGGATGGGAGACTTCATTCTATTACCTGTCCTAGTTTCATAGATGTATGTTAACTGGCAAACAATTGAATTATATATTCAGTTTTGAATGTCTTTGTGTTTGCAGATCACACTTTGAAAAAAAAAGCAAATGTTTGCGCGCTCACATATCCTCAGGTATTTAAAAGGTGAAACAGCAAGCACTAAATAAGAACAACCTACCTGAATTGTTTTGGCACCATGGATTGAACCCAAAGGTGATAAGCAACATCCCCAGTCCTTTTTTTTTGAGATAGGTCCTTGATAATTTGCTAAGGGTGACCACAAACTTGTGATTCGCTGGGATTATAGATGTGCAGACATGTACCACCACACCTGGCTAGAACAGATAACTTTTTTAAAAATACCATGAAAAACTGCAGAGAGACAAAAAGATCTCTTGGAAATTTAAAATTTAACAAAAATTAAAGATTCACTAGGAGGATAGCTAGATATAACTAGAAAAGTCTCTAATAAAGTAGAGAGAAAAGGAAAAGAATTTGAAATCAAGAGAGAAAAGATAGGAGGAAAAATTCAAGCACTGGCCCAGGGAGGCCAATATCTGCCTAACAATCATTTCAACAAAAAAGAAAATGGAGGAAATTGTCAAAGAAATTATTCAAGCAAATTTTCAAAGGACATTAATTTTCAGATCAAAAAGGTTCACTAAGCACCCAACGCTGGTAGGGATGAAAATACACTCACCTCCAGGCATACAGTATCAAAGAATTTCAGAACAATGAAAATTTCATAAACTTCCAGAGAAATGAAGATGTTCATGAAAAAAGCCTTTGGAATCAGAATGGGTTTTAGACTTTTCACCAGCAACACTATTTAAGCTTGGTCGGGTTTCCAAAAGTGCCTTAGCAAAAACATTAATGATCTCATTGTATTTGGGAAAAGCATTGGGCTAGGGACATAGCTCAGGGAAATGCATATTTAAAAATAAAAACAGGAAGTGACCCACCATTATTCCTATGAATATAAAAGATATCTTTATAATGCAATGAAAATGAAAAAGATATACAGGCTAAAAGTAATAACCGATTTGTAAATGTCCATGGCTGAATTCCTATGTTGAAGTCCCCACCTCTAGGACCTTAGAATGTGGCTGTACTTGGAGATAGGACCCTTAAAGAGGTAATTAAAATAAAATGAGGCCATGTGAGTAGGCCTTAATCCAATATGACTGGTGTCATATCGCAAGAATAGATGCTCAGGACGCAGAAACACAGAGAAAAGACCAAGTGGAGACGAAGGAAAGGACAGTCATCTACAAGCCAAGGCCAGCAGCCTCAGGAGAAATCAACCCTGCCTCCAGAATGTGGGAAATAAACTTTTATTTTGTAAAGCCAATCTGTGGTACTTGTTATAGTAGTCCTAACAACTAATAACATTTTTATACTCTGTTATAATAATTATTACTGTTAAACATGATGGGTTTATCATGTGCATTTAGGTCTTTATTCTTCCAAAATCCCACTAAAATGATATTAAGAGAACTCTATAAATGGTACAAGTTCATAAGGGAAAAAATAAGAGCAAGAAAGGAGGCAAAACTAGCAAAGCATTAAAAGGTAGAAAGCAGATGGTCAAGAGGTAACTGCGTAGCAGAACCAAGGAACTGACTTAGGAGAAGCAAAACTTAAGCCAGCGAGGAAAGCAGAGAAGCAAACCAATTTTCATTTAAATCAGAATGCCTATCAGGCTCAGGAAGTGGCAGCACCATGGGCCTCTGACACTTGAGAGGGAGACAGGGCCAGAAACTAGAAGATAGGTTGACAGTCCACGCAAGAAGCAGCTTCACTCCCAGAAGACCCTCCCTCTACAGAGAGCCTGGAGAAAGGGAAACAAAGGTCTGTGGGCCAGGGATGGAGCATGGGTAGAGGTTCCATAATGAAAATACCCGAATGAATTAAAGGCTTAAATGTTTGACATATCCTCAAGCAGAAAAGTGGAAGAGTTGGTGCTGGAGAATCTATTAGAAAGAGGGACCCAAAAGAATTCTATCAGGCATTCTCTAAGGATACAGCCCAGCCAGATCACCATGGGAACCTATCAACCAATCTCACCCTTGCTCAGAGAGCTTGCATTAAGTTGTATTAGAGCTCACACTTAAAACTAAGCAGAAAATAAGGTTGACAGGCATTTTCTGGAAATGTCTAATATAAAAGACAGATACCAAAACAAACAGAAAAAATAGAGAAAAGGGGAAAACAGCGACTGTGCACATAAATTAAACATCTTTAAGTTATTATTAATACCCTTAAAGATAGTAAGAGAACAATGGTTCAATTAAAAAAAAGAACAGAGTGTACTAAAAAAGAATACTCAGAAAACAAAAGAAGACATAAACTACAACATTGAAAACATTATGCTAAGTGAAAGAAGCCAGAAATAAAAGACCATGTATTGTATGATTCCATTTATAAGAAATGCCCAAAATATGCAAATCCAAAGAGGCAGAAAGTAGATTAGTGTTCTAATCTACTAAGAAGATTAGTGATTTTAACTCCTAGTTATCCCAGGGGCTCAGGGGTAAGGAGCGTGAGGAATGACTGATGGGTAGGGGTTTCTTTTGGGAATTATTAAAATGATAATAATTAGTGATAATGGTTGCTTAACCTAGAGAATATACTAAAAATCACTGAATTATATATATTTTATATAATATATATATACATGTTTTATTAAAATGGAAATTTTTATGGTAGGCCAATTGTATCTCAATAAACAAATAGAGCAAAAGGAAATTCTAAAATTCAAAATATAATAAAAAAAATGAAAAACTTGTAATAAGACTTGAAAATAAGGGTGAGGAAATGTCCCAGAAAATACAGCAAAATGACAAAGAGATGACATTGAGGGAGAAATCATAAGAAATTAAGAACAGGCCCAAAATCTCAATAATGGAATTCTAAGAAGAAACAATAAAGTAAAAAAAGTAAACAATCAAAATTACCCTGAACACAGAGAATCAACACAGAACATACCAAGGCATACTGTTGTGAAACTGCAGAATTCTAATGACAAGGTTAAGACCTTGTAAGCTTTTAAAAAGAAAGAGGAGGAAAACCCAAATTTCAAACAAAGGATCAGGAATCAAAATGGTACTAGACTAGGAAAAGGGGATGTACTAGGGACTGTATTAAAGCAAATTTTGTCCATGTTTATATAATTATGTCAACATGAACCCCAATATTATTTATAACCATAATGCACTAATTAAAAAACTTAAGAATAGCACTGGATTTCTTAATTGCAGAATTAAAATGAAAAAAAGATAAATTAATCCCTAAGAATTCTAAAGGAAAATACTTCCTAAGTTAGAATTAAATTAAATGTGAGGGTAAAATATATGTCTCATGTTTCCTTTCTTAAGAGAGAAAGTTTGTTCTATCAAAACGAGAAAGTACATCAAAAAAGATGAAGATACAGGATCAAGGAAAAAGAAAGTCCAAAAAGATATCAAATCGCCTCCCCAGATGATGATAAAGGGAAATCCTGGGATAACACCTATGTAACAGACATAAAACTAGGGAAAGGGAGAGGGAAAGTCTCAAATTATAAAGTAAAATACTACTCTTCTTGGCTGGCTCCTGTGTATGTGAAGAGTAAGATTTCATCAATCCATCAATAAAGATGTATTCTTATAGTCCAAGTAATAACATAAATCCTGTAACTAAAGCAAACCAGTCAGATGCTGAATGAATGGATACATACTAAATTAATGCTATAAATGTACATTAAGTAAATGATTTCTGAGTTTTAAAATGTCACCAGTACTAATTGGTGGGAATTTGGATGAACACTGACATGTGAGGGGGAAATCACTAACCCAAGAATCCAAGATCCCTGGTGGATGACATGTCAAATAATGCCCCTGTCAAATAAAGTTCTCTTTCAAGGAAAAGGCCTAAACTAATTTTTCCTACAATAGCTGTAACAAATTCTTCTTTGAATGAATTTTTGCCTCCATTCTTCACACAAAAGCCAGAGTAATTTTTAAGTTTGCATGATTTTTTAAATATAATCTTTGATATATCATGAGATTATATTTAAGTTATAAAGAAAATTACCAGGAACTTGCATCTAACTCTACTACTCTATCCACCTGCCTCCTGCCTGATAAATATCATTCTTAATGTTGTATTTATTACCTCCTTGTCTTTTTGTAATAGTTTTATCACATTATTCCTGAATACAACATTATTTAGTGTTGCTTGTTTATTAACTTCATCAGTGATGCATGTAATTGTAGTTCATTCATTGTCCCCCAATGTATAACTCTGAAACATGTGACTATACACAATTTATTCTTTATCCTGTCAATGGACAGCTGAGTGCTTTCCAGTTTCTTGTTATTATAAATATTGTTGCTCTCAAAATTCTAAATTAGTTCTTAGTGCTCTTATACAAATGTTTTTCTACCTAGGAATCCAATTGCTAAGGTGAGAGTAGGAAGTACAAAGCACAACTTTAAAATATTGCCAAACTGTTTTCAAATTTGGTTATACCACAGGGTGTGGTGGCCTATGCCTGTAATCCCAGCAACTCAGGAGACTGAGGCAGGAGAATGGCAAGTTCAAGGAACTTGAGCAACTGAGCAAGGCCCCAAGCCACTTAGCAAGACCCTGTCTCAAATTAAAAAAAAAAAAAAAAAAAAAAAGGTGGGGATGTGACTCAGTGGCAAAGTGCCCCTTGCTTCAATCTTTAGTACCAAAAAACATTTTTTAAAATAATTTATACCAATGTACATTCACACTACCAAGATGTAAATGCTTTCACTGAAACTGTCCCCCACAAAACTGAGTTAAATGGCATTTCTGTAAATCTTCTGGGAGGACACAGTATCTCACTTTGTTCTTAATTTGCATTTCCTTGATTAATGATGACATTATATGAACAATTTTGAAATTTGGTTTGATAGTTTCTTATAAAAATTAAAAAACACTACACCATCTGACCCAGAAATTAAGAATTTGTTCAAGAAAAATAAAAATGTCACAAAAGACTTCTGTATGAATGTCCATACCCACTTTATTCATAATAGTTTTAAAAAAAATCCTAGAAACAAACCAAATGTCCACTAATAGGTAAATAATTGTGGTATATGCAAATAATTACATATTACACAGCCAAAAGAAATAAGTTGCTAATGCTGAAACAACACGGTTGAGTATGTTGCATGAAAGGATTCAAACACAAAAGGAGCTGGGGTTGTAGCTCAGTGGTAGAGCACTTGCCTAGTATGTGTGAGGTTCTGGGTTCAATCCCCAGCACCATATAAAAAAAATAAAAACAAATAAAATAAAGTTGTCTTTTCTTAAAAAAGAATAATGTTAAACTTATTCCACTGACATGAAGTTCTATTCTGGAACAGGTATAACTGTAGTTATACAACTACTCTAAAGAAGTCAGACCAGTGGAGAAGGAGAGAGTGACTGCACTGGAGCCCGGGCATCAGGGTACGTCCTAGGGGGCTGGAACTGTTCAATACCTTGACTAGGGTAGGGGCCACCTGAATGCACACATTATGAAAACTCATCTGTGTATTTTACTGCATGTAAGCACATCTGAGATCAAAACAAAATGTGCATCAGATCATGTCATTCCCCAGCTCCCAACCTGGCATGTCTTCCCAAATGCTCTTAGACTAAAACCCAAGCTGCTTTCCTTGGTCCACAAGACATTGAAAGAATTAGTATAGACCCTCCAAACTGCATCTATCACCCTGGTTCCTATTAGCCACATTAGCTTTCTGAATGTCTATTATAAATTCCAAATTCTCTTTTTAAAAAATCAACTATAAAGAAAAATATACATGGGGTAGGAACAAAGAAATAGAAATTAATCACAAGTCGTAGAATTTGGATTCTGATTCAAAGAAACTCATATTAATGCAGTGGTAGGGTCACTGCATTAAAACACCAGTAGATGGCTTTCCGAAACTCGCCTTGCTTTGTCCAGCACCCTTGTAGTCCTGCTATAGTCTCTATCTCAAATGCCTCAAAGGACCATGTGCTAAGGCTTGCTCCCAAACATGGAGCTATTAAGAGGTGGTGGAACTTTTCAGAGATGGCCTAGTGCAAGGTCTTCAGGTCACTGGGAATTGCCCTTGAGGAGGATAATGGCACCTCCTTGATCTCTTGCTCCCTGGCCATGAGGTGAGCAGTTTTGCTCTGTCATATACTCCTGCCATGGCGTGCCACCACAGGCCCAAAGCAATAGGTCCAATGGGTCATGGCCTGAAACCTCTAAAACGATAAGCAAAAAAAAAAAAAAATCCTAGAAACAAACCAAATGTCCATCAATAGGTAAATAATGGATAATAGGTCATGGTCTGAACCTCTAAACCTTTTCTCTTTGTAAGTTGATTATTTCAAATCCCTGATGCCGGCATTGGAACGTAGTGCTCGTGCAGGGACGGTCTGTGCCAAAGGGTCCTCTCCTTCCAGCCACTGCCTGTGCATTTTTCCGAGAGAATGAAATTGGGATGGCCTGCTGCTCTGCTTTGAGCACCCCATTTGGTTGTAGTCATGTGAAGACATCTCAGAGTTGGTTTTGTCTCTTGTGCTTAGCCCATACACATTGCTTTGATTTATGCACTTGAAACAGTCAGCTGGGACCTGATTTCTTTATTCTTTTAGCACCTACAATGAGCCCAAAGTCTGCTGGATGCTGTGAAGGAAGAAGTGAGCAGGAGAGGCAGGACTCTGTTTAGATGGAGTTTGAGTTTCAGGATTGCAGTGGTGGTGAGAGAAGAACAAGGGAATAAATATGGTGATTTTAGATGTCCTTAAATTCTGAGAAGACATTCAGGAAGATGTGATACAGAGTGACCCAGGAGAAGGTCGTTTTAGACAGGGTGATCAGTAGTCTCTGTGAAAAAGTAAGAGTCTAGCTGGGTGAGTTGAAGCAGAGGGAGCAGCAGCAAGTGCAAAGTCCCTGAGGTGGATGGCTTGGATTTTTTTCATTTTTTATTATGATTTTCAAATATATGTAAGCATCGTAAGTTTCAACAATTATTAACTTATGTCATATATTGTTTCATTGAGGAATCTTTCTACCCTACCCTACCCTCATATGATTTTAAAATCTTAATGTTTTCTAGAGAGCATATAATTTTATCAAATATTTCAATATGTGTACCTAAAAGATAAGGATTCTTTTTAAAAATATATACCAGAACACTATTACCATAACTAGAAAAAAAATTCACAAGAGTTTGTTGATATCAAATATCTAGGTTTTATTCAAACTTCTAGTTGTCTCATAAATATTTGGCCACTTATCTGTTATCACAATTATGCAAAATAACAACCATAAAACCTCAGGGGTATACACAGATAAACCAAGAGTCTGTGGATCGGTTGGGTGATTGTGTGGCTGTAAGTGGGGCTTGGAGGGACCCTAGGATCAGCTGTGGCTAGACTGGGTGATGATGTTGACCTTGGATGGGTTCTCTCACATGTTTAGGGCTTCTGTTGGGCTGTCATGATTTCGTCCCCCTTGTCTTTTCCTGCAGCAGGCAGTCTTGGGTGTGTTTTCATGATGAAGGGAGAGGGATAAGAGCAAAGCCCAGTTCTGCAAGAGGGCAAGTGGGAACAAATGCTTTTTAAGCCTCCTTCCTCACTTTCGCTGAGGAATATCTGCACATATAGCCTCTCGATAAACTCTCAAACAAAAGATACTACTTCTTTTCTTTGGAAGCATAAAGACTTACCTAGTCACATGAAGATGACAAACCTGACCTCAATCTGACTGTACACTTGTCACTGGTGTTGCATCTAACAGGATTTCCATTCTGGTAGGCTTTTCTGATTTCCCTATGTGGAATGAAACCTCTAAGGACTCAAGTATTAGAGCTGGGGAAGCATAATTAATTAATAAACATTTTAAAAGCCAGCAGATTATAAGTGAAAATCAGAATCTCAAAGCTTCAATGGGATGTGTTTGTACTCACTGCCGCTGACCTCGAAATGATTTTCCTTGTTCTCTCTCCTCTTTTTCCACTAAACCTTACACCCTCAATCTTTTCATCTTTGCCATTCTACCACACATTCTCAATTTCTCTCTTCCATTCTCTTTATTTTCCTCCACACCCATGCCAATCTCTTGTCTTATCCCCTTTCTTCCCTTATCCCCAAGCCTCCATTAAAAGAGAACTCATTCATAATTTTAAAATGTTTATTGATGAATATAAAGAAATGAAAAATAAGACTCTAAAGAAATACCACTTTTTACCCATCAGACTTGAGAGAAAAAGAGAAACAGCAAGCTCACAGCACAGAAGATGAAGCAAAGCCAAATGGGGATTATCAATATGCAGATTTTACAAGTCTCCAGATGTGAACTGTCAGTCACAATGATTACCACAGCAATCTCACTACAGCTATATAGAGAAAGAGTGCTGCTACAAGCATTCGTTCTAAAAGCATTTGTTTAATGAGACTTGGGGAGATTTTTACAAACATACCCAACAATTTTCTCTTTCTCTTGTTTTACAGACACTTATTTCGCATGTAACTAAGCTATACATAGATCCTAAGATTTTTTTTGCCAACTATCTTGCCATAACTAAAATTTTACACTTGTGACCTCACCATCAACTTTTTGGCACTAATCTCAGGTCACAGGCACTACAGAAAGATTTAAGAATATAAACTCAGTAGGAATCTTGAAATGTTCAGAAATTAATTAGTATTTGGCATGCTGTTTAAAAAGACTTCCATTCTGGTTCTGTCAAAAGCAGTCTGGCACATTTCTCTAGTACACTAACAATCTGATGATTGGTGAACCAATGTTTTATTTACATCCCTTCTACAGTTCTTCAGTGTTTCATTTGCATACATACATAAGAACCAAGTCAAAAGCTGAGGTTCCAGAAGGTAGAGGAGGAAAGGGGATTTCATTAGCAGGCTAATGCTTTCTAAGACTGTTTCCCATCAAGCAAGACAACAGTGAGAACAGCTAGGGAGGAAAGCAAACCAAGAAGGAAAAAATTCAGTCAGGTGTTCACTGCATAAACAGAGAAGGTATCTTGTGATTTTTCTCCATTTTATTTTCAAAATCTTTAATTTAAAAGAATAATCACCTCTGACTACATGCCAGGCCCTATTTTTCTAAAAAGCTTATCATAACAGATAGATAGGTTGATTATCCTCGTTGTTTAAGTGGCTAGACTGAGGAGTATTGAAATTAAATGGTTTTTCCAAGGTCACACAGAGAGCAGAGACAGGAAGCAAGTTCAGGTCTGATTCCAAAACTTGGTGCCCTAAACCACTAAGCTATTTTTTAATCCATTTTTTTGTTAACCATTGTATTACATCAAAATTTATTTAACACAAAAATTTAAGATAGGTTCTTTTGAAAGAAAGAAATGGGTTTTTTTATTCCTGTGTAATATGACAGGTGACATACTACAATTTTGGTTGTTCATTATTAATTTCTACAGAAAAGCAGTTAGGACACACATTTGAGAAACATTCGGGGCTTACTGCTTAGATGTTTCCTCATTTTCAGAGATGCCTATAATAGAGAAACCATTGCTAATATGCATGGGAATACAAACTGGAAAAAGGACAAGGGTAAAATTTTGAAGTTTTTTTTAAAAAAAACAATCAATTGGTGGACTTGTAGAACCTACATACGAGGTTATATTTTAGTAGGGGGAAATATCTAATCTGGACAATTCACTATAATAATCCCAATATACCTAGATTCCGTTTAGAAAAATGCAGAAAGTCCTCATCAGCACTGTGGAGCTCAACAAAGTTACAGAAAGATGTGAAGTGAGTAGACAAAAATAGGCAATTTGTTCCAATTTGAAGAGAGGCAGGCTGGTGGGGTAAAGCAAATAAATTCAAATGTTGAGATAGAATTTGGATTAATTTCTTGATATTATTCTTTCCTTCATTCCCTAGAAAGAAAGATCGTGTCAACCAACAGTGATTTTTCTAGCCAATTAAAGGTTGGTTTGGGGCTGTAATGCTTCCACTACACCCCCACACCAGAAGGATTAAAGCTATGATATAGGATCCACAATAAGGATAAGGTAAGGAACAGGAGGTCAAATGAGCTCTGTCGCACAGGCAGTCAGTCCCACGGGAAGGAAAGAACCAAAGAATTAGCATTTCTGAACTTGACAAGTGAATGTCACATGTACACAGCAGTCATATGCACCAGCAATCTTATTTGCTCTGCCCCTCAGTACTACATCAGATTTTAGGAACCCTTTCTAAGTGTGTTCCATGTCAATCAAGTATTTTCCTTCTCCCATATGAATTGAATGGTATTGTAGATATTTTAGTCTAATCACTGCTCGTTCCCATTCTTCCATTTTTCTCAGAGAGCAGAGCTAGTAATTGGCAGTTTTATATACAATAACATACCCACAGCAAGCACTCAAAACAAAATGACCACATTCATTCATTCATCATGCATTGAAAAATAATTTATTGAGGTTAAATTCATATAACATAAAATTACTATTTTAAGGTGAACAATTCAGTGGTAGTATATTCACAATGTCATACAACCACCGCTTCTATCTAGTTCTGAAACACTTCCATCATCGCATAGAAAATCCCACACCCGTTAGGCAGTTCCCCCAGCTCTGCCTCTCCCCCGGCTCCTGGAAACCATCAATCCACATTCTGTCTCTGTGGACTTGTTCATTCTGGACATTTCATACAAATGGAATATAATATGTGACCTTCTATGTCTGGCTTCTTTCATTGAAATTATGTTTTTTAAGGCTCATGCATGTCATAGCATGTATCAAAACTTCAATGCTTTTTATAGCTGAATGATATTTTATTGTACATATTTGTCACACTTTGTTTATCCCTTCATGCACCGACGGTCATCTGGGCTCCTCCTACCCATCAGCTACTAAAATGGTGCTGCTATGAATATACATGCATGTGTTTGTTTGAGAATCTGTTTTCAGTTCTTCTGGGTATTCATCTAAGAGTAAAATTATGGCATATGGTAATTCTGTTTCATTTTTTGGAGGAACAAACTGCTTTCCACAGTTAAGCAAGCATTTCTGACCAATCAAGTTTTACATTCTAATGAAAAAATAATAAGTAAATCACTAATTATACACACACACACGTATGTTATGTCAGGTAGCAGTAAATGCTATGAAAAAATTAAGCAGAGTAGAGTACAGAGAGCAATGGGAGAGTGGCCAGTGCACTCACAATGTCATACACCCACAAGCTCTATCTAATTCTGAAACACTTCCATCATCCCATAGTAAAATCTCACACCCATTAGGCAGTGGGTATTAAGCACCCCTTATAAAGAATGGTTAGGAAAGGCCTCTTTGATACATGAATAATTTGAAATGAGATCACTGAATACTTTCAGACATCTCAATAATCAGCAAAATAATTGTGTGTGTGTGTGTCTGTGTGTGTGTGTGTGTGTGTGTGTGTGTGTATACATGTAGGTAGTACTGGGGATTGAACCCTGGTGTGCTCTACAACTGAGCTAAATCCCCAGTCCTTTTTATTTTTTATTTTGAGATAGGATCTTACTAAATTGCTGAGTTTGGCCTTGAGCTTGTGGTCCTCTTGCCTCAACCTCCCAAATAGCTGGGATTACAGGCATGTGACACCACCCCAGCTGAAACATTCTTACATGACACTTTCCTAAAGCACTTTCTTTCTTGTTTGAATAATGTCCCCTTTGTTACTTTCTTCCCAAATGCTAATTCAGAATGGTAACTTTATATAAAGATCCTTTTTGCATTTGTATAATATAAAATAAAAACCATCTGGTGAATTTTGTTGATCACTGATATACCTTGTGTCAATTTCTACATTTCTAATATGATTTCTAGAGCTAATCATCAAATAAAATATCATGAAATGTCAGAACTCTTATGATCCCAAACCATGAATTTCCCAAAAGAATATAATTAACAAATCTTGAAAACCACAGATAAAATATTAAACCCCAGGGCTGGGGTTGTGCCTCAGTGGTAGAGTGCTTGCCTAGCATGTATGAGGCACTAGGTTCAATTCTCAGCACCACATATAAATAAATGAATAAAATAAAGGTTCATTAACATCTAAAAAAATATTTTAAAAAATTTTAGGGCTGGGATTGTGACTCAGAGATAGAGTGCTCACCTGGCATATGCAAGGCCCTAGGTTCAATCCTCAGCACCACATAAAAATAAATAAATAAAATAAAGATATTGTGTCCAGCTACAACTAAAAAATAAATATACTAACCCCTAAACATGTGGTAAATATTTATGGCTAAGAGTTAAGAACCCTAGTCCTAGATCCTGTTCCACCACCCTGGGCAAGTCCTGGATGTCAGTTTACAGACAGGGTAGTGGCATAGAGAAAGGATGTAAGCTCAGCACAGAGCATTGTAAAACTGTCTTTTTATTGACTAGTACATTCCTGGCACAGTTAGGTAAAATATATATCATACATAAAATACATATATATGACACATATATGGAAATATATATCTTACATGAGTTATATCTCTTAGAGACATAAAGTAAGTGTTCAAGATCACACAGATATACCCAGGTCTACGTAGCAACAGGGGATTCTAACCCAGGTAGGACTGAATGATTCAAAGTCCACTGTTACCATGAAAGATCTTAACAATATAACCAAAGATGTCATTCTTCACTTAAGTTTTCAACACTTTACTCATATTTTAAAAATCCAAGATGTTAAAAAAGTCCCAAATTCATAGCTAAAATGAAGACAACTTTATTATGTTTCTTCATCTAAAAGTTGAATTTATTGTTCCTTTACAGTAAATTTTTTAAAACCCATTACTATTTAATTGACTTGACTTTTCTTTATTTCACAGACAACATATATTTTAGAACAAAATTCTCTAGTATAGAAATATACTAGGTCTTAACATATTCTCCACGAACATCTCCCCAGATGATTTTATTCAGTCCTACCAAATATATGTCTATGACTTCAACACAGAGTCTCATGCCTTAACCACTCCATTGAGGTGCAGGCAAGACTTGCTAACCTCACAATGGAATTGGTGACTAGGTAACAGAAGTATGCTTTTTCATAATATAGTCAGTCCTCTGCATCTGTAGGTTCTACATTCATGGATTCAACAAACCATGAACTGAATATATTTGTGGTTAAAAAAAAAACCTTCATCTGTACCAAACATGTAAAGACATTTTTCCTTGTCATTATTCCCTTAACAATACAATATAATAACTATTTATATCACATTTACATTGTATCAGGTATTACAAGTAATCTGGAGATGATTTAAACTATATGGGAGGATGCATGGAAGTCATAAGCAAATACCCCATTTTACATGAGAGACTTGGGCACTGGAGATTTGGGTATCCAAAGGGAGTCTGGAAACTATCCCTTGGGGATACCAAGGGACAACAATATACAATTCAACTCTTGAAAGACTGAGGAATAATAGCCTTTCATCCTTGCTCTTCTAAATCTCTATTAAAACCATTTCCCATTACCCCATTACCCCCAAAATTTTATCAAAAGGTTTATGACTATCTCTTTTTTATTATTATTATTTTTATTGTTGGTTGTTCAAAACATTACATAGTTCTTGATTTATCATATTTCACATTTTGATTCAAATAGGTTATGAACTCCCATTTTTACCCTGTATACAGATTGCAGAATCACATCAGTTACACTTCCATTGATTTACATATTGACATACTAGTGTCTGTTGTATTCTGCTGCCTTTCCTATCCTCTACTATCCCCCCCTCCCCTCCCCTCCCCTCCCCTCTTCTCTCTCTACCCCCTCTACTGTAATTCATTTCTCCCCCTTGTATTATTTTTCCCTTTCCCCTCACTTCCCCTTGTATGTAATTTTGTATAACCCTGAGGGTCTCCTTCCATTTCCATGCAATTTCCCTTCTCTCTCCCTTTCCCTCCCACCTCTCATCCCTGTTTAATGTTAATCTTCTTCTCATGCTCTTCGTCCCTACTCTGTTCTTAGTTACTCTCCTTAAATCAAAGAAGACATTTGACATTTGTTTTTTAGGGATTGGCTAGCTTCACTTAGCATAATCTGCTCTAGTGCCATCCATTTCCCTGCAAATTCCAAGATTTTGTCATTTTTTAGTGCTGCCTAATACTCCATTGTGTATAAATGACACATTTTTTTTTATCCATTCATCTACTGAAGGACATCTGGGTTGGTTCCACAGTCTAGCTATTTGAATTGTGCTGCTATGAACATCGATGTGGCAGTATCCCTGTAGTACGCTCTTTTAAGGTCTTCAGGGAATAGTCCAAGAAGGGCAATAGCCGGGTCAAATGGTGGTTCCATTCCCAGCTTTCCCAGGAATCTCCATATTGCTTTCCAAATTGGCCGCACCAGTTTGCAGTCCCACCAGCAATGTACAAGAGTATCCTTTTCCCCACATCCTCGCCAGCACTTGTTGTTGTTTGACTTCATAATGGCTGCCAATCTTACTGGAGTGAGATGGTATCTTAGGGGGTTTTGATTTGCATTTCTCTGACTGCTAGAGATGGTGAGCATTTTTTCATGTACTTGTTGATTGATTGTATGTATGACTATCTCTTAAAAAGTGTCAAACTTGGGGCTGGGGATGGGGCTGAGGCTCAGTGATAGAGTGCTCACCATGCACACATGAGGCACTGAATTCAATCCTCAGCACCACATAAAAATAAAATAGGGTATCGTGTCCACCTACAATTAAAAAATATATTTTTAAAAAAAGTGTCAAAATTATTTATATAAACAAGCAAATCACATGATTTGTTATTTTTATATTTGAAATTCCTCTGAGTCCTCCTGGAAGCCTCAGGGATACACAACCTCAAGTATTTCACCTACTAGTCCTAGAAGTCTACTTCTGTTCTTATTCTCTTTCCATGATGCTCAGGGCCTGTTCCAAGGGTCTCTCCTATGGATACTAAACTTGTAATACAACAGGGTCGGCAGGCACAATGGCATATGCCTGTAATCCCAGGGATGTGGAAAACTGAATCAGGAGGATCACAAGTTCAAAGCCAGCCTCAGCAATTTAGCAAGGCCCTGTCTCTAAATAAAATTTAAAAAGGTCTGGGGATGTGTCTCAATGGGTTCAATCCCTGGTACCAAATAAAAAAATAACAGGACAAGCAAGGAATACATTCCAGAACTCTAACCCCAAAGAACTCAGAATAACAAAACTGAAATAATTTAAGGAAAGTACAAGAGGACTAAGAAGTATGATGCTAAAACAATAGCCATCCAACCACACAACTATTCTCTGAAACCTGAAAACTCTGAGTTATCTCTAGAATCTTCAAATATGATTTATATGTCTGATCTACCTCCTCAGCTTGACACTAAGTATACTGAATAGCACAGCATCTGTAAATCTCTCTAATAAAAATATCTGTAAATTGCTCCCCCTAGAATGGTCCTCAAAGTCCAGTGTATTTTTACTATCTTGTCAGCTTTCTGCCATGATATTATGACAGGGTTATTTCATCTTAAAGGTTACCATCCCTTCAACTGCCAGATATCAGCTATCAGAGGGGCAAATACTAGAATAATATTTCTATAATATACATAGAGTCAACATTTTTTAAAGGTTGTCAGTGAATGGAATGATCTCAACAATTCTAAAACCTCATCTGATGAAAAAATTAAAAAGAATATAAAATCTTAGGGAAAATACAATGCTTCCATTGTTGTGTCAGTAATTCAAACCTAACTGAATCAAACTATTTCATTACATTTCATTTTCAGTTACATGAAAGTCAATATTCTACATATGCAATAAAATAACCTAGAAACCAGAATAATCTATAAGTGATTTTCATATTGCTTTTATTTAATTTTAACATAAATATACAAACTGCTATCTTAACACAAGTTATTTGCTTAATTCCTAATTAACTTCACTTCCATCCTTTCTTTCCCAGATCTTTCTTATTCAGCTGGCTTTAAATATATTCATGCCGATTCTCCATGTTCTTGCCAGCATGATTAAAAAAATTTTATACAACATTGGTATGGGAGATGATTGATAACAATCTTATTCTTCTCAAACTGATTCCTTGCTGGGTCTGTGGGGTGGAAAAAAATGTTAAAAAGTGATTTTTAAAAGCTAGATTTTGTGAAATCCCATTTTTTTCAGATGAATATCAAAAGAGCAAGAAAATGAGCAGAGTCATTCTATCTTTAAAATGAGAAGTCCACGGTGTGAAGAGAAAGAAAGAGATATTCAAAGAGACAGTAACAAACTGCTCAAGCCATTTCCTGAAAAGAAACTGCACTTCTGGTTGCAATTGTTAAGATTATAGAAAACAACTCTCTGTCCTTCAAAAACCACTAAATATAGCTCTGAAACCCTAGGTTTTATTATAAAAAATGTAAAGGTATTAGGAATAAAATTATTGTGTTGACAAATTTAAGTAATGAACTGCTGTGGTAAGATACACACAATACTAACCCATCTTGCCAAAAAGAAGACAAAGAGTAATAAAGCAGTGATAAGAGAAAATTGATTAAATCACTTTTAAAGAGGCACTGGTGCCTGTACAATTCTTTAGTATGGAATTTTCTTCCTATGGGATATTGTGCAAATGTCTTTGTCTTGTCTAAAGTGTACTAAAATTACAAATACACACCCACACTGAGGAAAATTGCTTTTACTTATCAGGCTAAAAGAAATAAGGAAGGCTTGGAAAACAGATATTTCCAGGGAAGAAAAGTAAAGCAGGAAAGTGAAGGTATAATAAAAGGACTATAATCAGAGATATGGGAGGAAGACAAACTGCATTAATTAATTTTCTTTAAGAAATGAGACTAGCTGCACACTGAGATGAATTGTCTCATTTGCCAAGTGTCCCAAGTGGCAAAGTCAAACAAATAACTCTGTAATTCTTCATTAGTATTTCATCAAGTTTAACCATTTGCAGACTGCCAGAAAAGGGGGAAGGGGATTCCTCAACTCTTATGACAACCACAACTAATCAACTTTTTATGTGCATTTTCCAATATATTTCTGTGTTGAAATAATCATGTGACCTATGAAAATTGTATAAAGATAGAGCAAAATCAAATAAGATAAACATCAGGAAGGGTCAGTTCTTCATGGGAGGTCATGCTTTACTATGAACTGAGAAAAGCCTTTCCAATCGTTCTCAAGTGGGTTAAATCTGGCTTCTTGCACTTCCTCATTAAATAACTTTGACCCACCAATTATCTCTTACATCACAATTTTTGACACATGTACATAGTGAAGGTTACCCAGCACCATAGGATAGTTGTGAGATTAAGATCATTCTAAGGGCTGGGGTTGTAGCTCAGTGGCAGAGCACTTGCTTAGCATGTGTGAAGCCCTGTGTTCGATCCCCAGCACCACATAAAACTAAATAAACAAAATAAAGGTATTGCATCCATCTACAACTAAAAATATTTTAAAAATAAGATCATTCTAACATTAAGTGTTATGTATGTAAAGTACCTCAATAAAGTACCTAATGAAGTCCACAAGTCAGGTAAATATTTACTTAATTGGTTAAGGTTTACTCAAGTGATTAAAATCTTAGGGCTGGAGTTATAGCTCAGTGGTAGAGTGCTCACCTAGCATCTGTGGAGACACTGGGTTTGATCCTCAGTTACCGCATAAAAATAAAAAAAAAAAAAGGTATTGTCCATCTACAACTAAAAAATATTTTTAAAAACTTTTAAGCATAGTATGAGATCTCTAAAGTCAAATGACTCTCATTCAACATTTAGTTAAGAAAATGAGAGGCTGTAGTCCTCAATTTTTAAGTACTTTCACCACAGAAGTAAGAATTTTGTAAAGATCCATCTTGCCTGTTTTTTCCCTTTGTACATAAGCTTTTTTCCCACCTCGCTGCTACTAAAAGATAAAGGTTTTAGTCAAAGCCTAGTTTTTATAGCAATAGAACATTTTTCAAAATAAAAATGGCTTTAGCTGGGCACCATGGCAAACGCCTATAATCCCAGTGACTCCATAGGCTGAGGCAGGAGGATCACAAGCGCCTCTGGGTTCAATACCCAGTACCAAAAAATAAATTAAAAAAAAAAGAATTGACATTTTTTGAAATTATAAGATTAATAAATTATCTTTGTTTTTAAAAACCAAATATTGCAAAATATCATAAAAATAAAATTTTGAAAATTACTTGAAATATTACCACCGAGAAATAATAATGGTTAAGATTTTCATATGAATAAATACATACAAATACATATTCTAGATTTTTTCTCTGTATAAATGCATATATTGATTTTAATAAAAACTAGAAAATTAATGCCGATTGAATAGGTTTATGTATATTTTGTTAACTATACACAATCATAAAAATACTAGAATCAAATGAATAAAAATTCTGTAATCTTAACATCCTAAATCAACTCTTCTTATCTTTGCCATGTGTATTTCTAATGCTTGCCCACATGAACACATAATTCATATAATCATAAAAGATACTATTTTATATTCTTTTTTCATCTATTTTAAGCATGTTCTAAGTTGCAGCATGCCAAATTACAATAAATGAACTACTTTGTAATAAATTACTAATACCAAAATATTATTCCTTGTTATGACTTACCCAGTCAATTCCTTATTCTTGGAAATGACAATTTTTAGTAACAAACATACGTACCTTGGATTTTTAAGATTTTTATACTTTGTTGCTGTGTAGATTAAATTCGATAAGACATGTGAAAGCTCTTGGTAAACCTGTATTACCAATGTGAACATAATACATCATTATTATCAGTGGAATAGAGAATATGATGAATGAATATTTTAAGTATATATGCTGTCTCCCAACATTCTTAGGAATGACTTTCCTAAGTCTTTTGTTTATGGCAGGTATAGTAAGTCTTTATTACAGCACTTGATTCGGGATGTGGGATTTCTTTAAAAAGTAGTTTTAGGTAAAATTATACTTTTCATTGTAATGTTGGTGTGCGTGCCAAAATTATGTTAATGGTAGAAATGACTTTTAACTGAAGTCTCCAGAATCTTCAACTTGAACTCATTTTTGAGTGATATAGTCCACACTGAAGGAATAAATTGTGCTATGGTTTGATTATGTAGCATGTCCCCTAAAAGCCCACGTGTTAAAGGGTTAGTCCCCCCCCACAGATCCTACTGGAAGATGGTGAAAGCTCTAAGAGGTGGGGCCTGTGGGAAGGTCCTTATGTCACTGGGGCCTTGTCTCCGGCTGGGACTGTGGAATCTGTCCTCTTCTTTCTTTACTCCCTGGTCCTCTCCCACACGTGCTCCTACCACTGCCATCTACCACCCTCACTGGAGGCCAAAGCAGTGGTCACCCAAACTTGCATTTGAACTTCAAAAACTATAAGTTAAATAAACCTTTTCTTCATAAATAAAAATAAAGTTAATAAAAAACTTTAAGAATTTTAATTTTAATGTATTTCTGGATTTATAAGGGATCTCTCTGGGAGGCAGGGTTAAAAGAACAATGAGCTGAATAGAGTTGAGGGACTAAATTTGGGTGAAGTGAGAAACACCCCACCTCCAAATAAAGACAAGATTTTTAAAGGATGTCAAATAGTGTCAGGTCTATAGAACCCTTGGCTTTGGGAGAAATCAATGAGAATTCTTCCTGGAAATAAATAATCCCCAATTTAGGCCATTAGGATTCTCACAGATAAAGTTTAACTAAATATGTACTTAGGATTTTCCTCCTGAAAACACACAAAAGAGGACCTATCTGTATTTGTTGATCCAAGTTTCCCAGTGATACAAATGTAGAGTCAGTATTTAGAAGCATGCATCTAACTAAAATCACAACTTTACCACATTGGGAGACAGTGGGTGAGAGCTAGGTATGGTGGTATTAGAGACAAGAGGTGTGAACAAGAGTTAAGTCTTCATCTTTCTAAACTCCAAGTCACTGCCAAAACTGAAAAATCGGTACCATTATACTTCAAAAAGAAGCAGCTATAAGAATTAAAAAATGGCTATTTCTGGAAGCAAGAAGTAGGGGAGGGGGCTGAGGATGGCTACTTTTTATAACAAGTTATGTTGAATATCTGACTTTTAGACTCTGAATTCATATAATTTTGATTTTAAGAAACTAAAGTCAAAACTTTAAACAATATTTTGAAGTTGGAACAATTACTTAACAAAGGAAAAGAAGAGAGTGTGGTGGCTGAGTAACTTGGGGACAAAGTTAGAGACCATGATAAAAAATAGATGACCAAGATTTTATAAAAGGAGGATAAATATTCCATCTTAAGCTGGCTGTGGTGAACAGAACACTGTACCGAGTCTTCAGTTTTTTTAAAAAAGCCCAAAATGTGAGGAGAGGGAGTGGTAGCAAGAAAACCTTGGCACTTCTCCAACATCAGGAGCCTCTCCCTACAGTGAAACAGAACAAGTCAGGGTCCATCCAGTTCAACCCTGTGGAAGGGAAGAGTCTTAGAATCCTCCCGGGAACTTCTTAGGCAGCCAGGAATACAGTAAACACAGTTTTCTTTCTTGTGTTTTGTTTTGTTTTCCTTATCCTTATACAAGTGGGAAAACTTAAATTGTGAAATAGCAAGTCCACTCTGAAATGTGCTCAAAAATAAAATGGGAGTCTGAAGTATGCATTATCCCTAAGTAACACATAAAAGGGAAGAGGAGAGAATTTTAGGAAGAACCTGTGTTAATCCTTTACTTCTACATTTCACAGACTCTAAATTCAAGTTCCACTTCAAACAATATGCAATATTTATTCAAAAGTGACTCCTTTGGTGTCACTGTAAAACTGTTACATAGTAGGCATCCCCGACTGGAGTCCCCTCCTGCCCCTGCAAGCATTCTGTTTGTATTCTTCACACTTGAATAAATCCTTTCACTACTGAAAAAACACTATTATAATGTAAAAGTCATATATTATTTATTTAAAGCTCTCTTTTCACCTAAGGGAACATGAGTATATTGGGCCATCTTATTATTCTTCAGGATCACAAAGAGCACCCTACACACAAAGTTCCTACAACATTCTAGAAGAATAAGCACACACTTAGTTGGAGTCCATTCCTAGTGATTTAATACATGGGCAGCTCCAGTTGTGAACTTTTATAAGAAATGTTGAAGATTATGGTTTTTGTCTTTACTGAGCCAGTATCAATAAAATAGTGACAATTTATTCATAATCAACAAGTGTTTTCTGAATCCTTACAAGATCACTGGTCAGAAAAATGTGAAAATAAAAGTTCAGATGTTTCAAAAGTTTTAAATACATAAAATAAAAAGCAAACTTCATCTAGTATTTTTAAATTCGTTAAACATAAAGAATAAAATTAATGACAAAACTATGTGATTTTCACATCTTCCATTAAACAAAACTATTGACTAGAGTTTGCTATAGTTTTCAAGGCAGGGGGACAAATTGACAGCCTCAGTCCCATCTTATGATTACTATTTATGTTACAAGAAGAAAACACTTTCCCTGAATAAAAAATGCAGATTTTTGCAATATAACATGTTATTATTCCCATTAAATAAATGTTTACTGAACTATAATATTGAAAGATTACTAGGCCCTAGAAATAAAAGGAACCATAAATTCATGGCTTCTATCCTGAAAGAACTTAAAATATCACTATGGAGATAATACACATGCATAAGACATTACAAGACTATAGGTCTAAAATAGCCTATTAGGCAAACTCCAACACTATGGTGTTTTACATCGCAACTTTATTGAGATATAATTCACACATCATAAAATCCACCCTTTTAAAATACACACATCAGTAATCTCAGTATATTCAGAGTTGTACATCCATTATCACAACCAAGATTAAAACATTTTCATCGCCCCAAAAAGAAATTCCATATCCATTAACAATAATCACTATGTCTTTCTATCCCCAGCTCCTGAAAACTACTAATCTACCTTCTGCTTCTATGGATTTGCCAACTGTACACATTATTTATAAATGGAAATATATAATACATGATCTTTTATGTCTTGCTTTCTAGAAGACCTAGGACAACGTTTTCAGGGTTCACCCACACTACAGAATGCATTACCACTTCATCTTTTTTACGGTTGAATATTATCCCACTGTATGGATGTATCACTTTTGTGTATATGATACTAGGAATTGAACCCAGGGCCTCACACATGCAAGAAAAGCATTCTACCCCTGAGCTACACCCCCAGGGATATATCACATTTTATCTATCCATTCATCAGTCGATAGATTTTTTAATATTTTCCACTTTTTTACTATTAGGAATGAAGCTGCTGTGAATATTCTTTTAGAAATTTTTGTGTGGGCTTAAGTTTTTAATTCCTTTGTGTATATACCTAGAAGAATTGGTGGGTCATATGGTAACTCTCTGTTCAATATTTTGAGGAACTGCCAAACTGTTTCCCAATGTGGCTCACCATTTTACAATCCCATCAGTAGTATTTCAGGGTTCTGACTTTTCTACATACTTGTCAGGACTTGTTATGATATGACTTTTTTATTTTATCATGTCAAATAGGTCCAAGCTATGATTTTTGGTGGAAAAATTATAATTCTAACTTACTTCCAAATAATACAAATAGTAAGTATTGAATAAATGTTTGTTCAATTAATGTGCCAATGTTACATTCCTGGGAAAGCCTGCAAAAGTGAAAGAAGTCTCCAAGAAGGAACCATCGCCACCTTAACCTAAAAGATTACCTGTCAGACAGTTACAGCAAATGTCTGCTGGCCTCCATTCCAGTGCCTTCCTGTGAGAATTCCTCTGTCAATGTGTTTAAGATCATTCATTTTTGCCATTGTATCATATGGCTTTATCTAGCTTTCTCTAAAATAGGAGGTAAAAAAAATTCTTAAAACAGGAAGTTAAGACTTATATCTTGGATACATGTAAAAATTTTTTTAAAAATATTATTTCTTATTTAAGGATCCATTATTACAAAGAGAAAATGATTATAAAATAGTAACAGTAAAAGCAATATAATGTGGAGCCAATCTATCCTTAATATTCAGATTAGTTTTATCTTTTGAATAATATATAATCTTGCTAGGACATAGATAATTACATTAAAGTCTACAATATGCAGAAACCTCAACATTTATAATGGACAATTCCTTATTACAGCAATCCCATAATTTTCATTAGCAACAAAATTTCTATTTATTAGCAGTAACAATTTTCTACAGTTTCTGATAACATGAGTTTCATAAAGCTATATCAAGAATCAAATAAAGATGTAGTCAGCAATTTCACAAAATGAGACAAGAAGAAGAAAAACTAGAAACAGATCAATCACTTGAGACACTGCATTCTTTGATTAGAATTAAAAACCTTTTCAATGACTCCATTTTATTTGCCACTAGTTTGCTTGCAAACTGGCAAAATAGGAAAAGCTGATTTGATAAAATTTCATAATTGAAAGGGTTATTTCTTTTTTTTTAAAGAGAGAGTGAGAGAGGAGAGGAGAGAGAGAGAGAGAGAGAGAGAGAGAGAGAGAGAGAGAGAATTTTTAATATTTATTTTTTAGTTTTTTAGTTCTTGGCAGACACAACATCTTTGTTGGTATGTGGTGCTGGGGATCGAACCCGGGCGGCACGCATGCCAGGCGAGCGCTACCACTTGAGCCACATCCCCAGCCCCCAGAAAGGGTTATTTCTTAATGGTGTGAAATTTATCAGTGTTTATTTCCAGAGCTTTTTAAAAAACTCATAAGATAAACATTTTTAAAGCACATACTACATGCCAGGTATTGAATTAGACACTAGTTACAAAAGGAGGAGGAGGACAAAGAGGAAAAAGAAGCAGAAGAAAGTGTTCACTGTTCACAAGGAGTGCACAATCTAGTGGATGCAGAAAACATGGTCAACATAAAAGCTAACATTTTTATTGAGAACCTGCAGTGAGATAGGTCCTGTTTAATTCAATTCCGGTAATATGATTCTGGAGCCTTATTAGTTATATGAAGATGTGATACATAAGGTAGCACAGATAAAGGAAATCCCATGAGTCTATAGCATGAAATGGCATGGTATGTGAAGACAACCGTGGTTACTTCAGTAGATGAGGAAAAAGAAGTTAGAGCTGAGGAGTGGAAAGAAATGGAACTAAAAGTTTTAGCAGGGTTAATTAGATCATGATGGAAATGAAATGATCTATGAAATGAAATATATATATCTATGAAATGAAATGAAATATCCATGCCACATTCATGCATTGGAAAATTCAGTGTTGTTAAGATGACGGTCCTCTACAAATTTATCTATAGATTCAATATAATCTCAATCAAAATCCCAGCTAGCTTTCTTCAGAACATGACAAGTTGATTCTAAAAGTCATATGGAAATTCAAAGGACCTAGAATAGTCAAAACAGCTTGGCAAAAGAAGCAAAGTTGAAAGACTTATAATACTTTAAGACTTACTCTAAACAGAAGCAATCAGACAGTGTCAAATTATTGTTAACAGTGCATGTATAAATCCATGGAACAGACTAAAGAATCCAGAAATAGACTCAAGTATTTACATTCAATTATATATAATCAATTCATTTTTAACAAAATTGCCAACTTAATTCAATGATAGAGAAGATTGCTGGGTTTTTTTTTCAGTGATACTTTTAACTACTGGATATATGTATGGGAAAAAAGTAATCCTGTGATCATTAATATACACCATACATAAAAAGCAACTCATGGTAAATTATACACTAGACATAAAAGCTAAAACTATAAAACATCTAGAGAAAAATATTCACGATCTTTGAGAAGGCAAACAAATCCTTGACGTAACTCAAAAAGTATGAACCACAAAATAAAAACTTGATAAATGGATTTCACCAAAATGAGAAACTTTTTGGTTTTTTTAGTTTTATATTGATTACATGTTTTTTTAACATTTTTTTATTGGTTGTTCACAACATTACAAAGCTCTTGACATATCATATTTCATACATTAGATTGAAGTGGGTTATGAACTCCCAATTT